TAATTTTTGAGTCAGATAAATTTATGTTATATAAGAATGGCATGTTTGTTGGAAAAGGCTATGCTACAAATGGCATGTTCAAACTCAATATTGATATGAAAAAAAAATTATTTATATTGTAGAGTCTCTGGATTTATGACATGAACATCTAGGTCACGTGAATTTTAGATCCATTCAACTTATGGTGAATCATGAATTAATTAAAAATTATGGAAAGGATCATATTGCTAAGTGTCTTACTTGTAGTAAGTGCAAGATAACAAAAAAGCCTTATAAGACATTTGAAAGAAAATCCACACTTTTAGAATTAATCCACACTGATATTTGTGAGATGGGTTGTTTGTCACGCAATAGAGAGATATTTTATTACTTTTATTGGTAATTATTCAAGATATACATATATCTTTCCGTTAAGAATAAAAGATGAGGCCTTTGATACTCTCAAAACATATAAAGCAGAAGTTGAGAATAAATTGAGTTTGAAGATTAAATCAATTAGATCTAATAGGGGTGGAGAGTACTTGGGTTCAGATTTTATTGATTTTTGTGAAAGAGAAGGTATTAAGAAATAATTGATTACGTCCTATACACCACAACAAAATGGTGTAGCTGAAAGAAAAAATAAGACTTTCATAGAAATGGTTAATTCTAAGCTTTATAGATTTGGTGTACCTAAAAATTTGTGGACTAAAGCTTTATTTTCAGCTTGTCATATTTTAAAATGGATTCCTTCCAAGAAATTTGATACATCTCCTTATGAACTTTGGAAGAATCGAAAGCCAAATATTAATTATTTAAAAGTATGGGGTCATTTGGCTCATGTTAAATTACCATATCAACATATGACTATGGTTGGATATAGAGGAATTGATTGTGTATTTATTGGTTATTCTCTAACCAGTAATACTTATAGATTCTTAAATATTGAAACTCCAAACCCTCACACAATTATTGAATCTGTACATGCTAACTTTTTTAGCATATTTTTTCTAAGAAAGAAGGATCTCTAAAACAAGATACAGGTTCTTTTATATTTTCTCTTAAAAGAAAAGTAGTTGAATCATTGAAAAAAAGTCAACTAAAATGTAGTTCAAGATCAATCAAAACAAGAGACATTGGACCTAATTTTCAAGTCTATTTGATAGAAAAAGATCCTGAAAATTATGCTGAAGTAATATCTTTACATGATGTTGCTATATACGTGAAGCTATTGATGATGAAATGCATTCTATCATGTCAAATAACACATGAATTTTATTAGATCTTCCTCCTGGGTGTAAACATATTGGTTGCAAATGGGTTTTGAGGAAAAAATTGAAGCCTGATTGTACTTTAGACAAGTACAAAGCGCGTTTGGAGGCAAAAGGTTTTACTCAAATGAATGATATTGATTATTTCGATACTTTTACACCAGTAGCTCGGATCACATCCATTCGACTTTTAGTTGCTTTAGCAGAAATTCATGAATTGATAATTTATCAAATAGATGTGAAGACTTCATTTCTGAATGGAGATTTAGATGAAGAAATTTACATAAAACAGCCAGAAGGATTTGGCATCCTCGTCGGGAACATAAAGTTTGTAAGCTTCTTAAATCTCTTTATGGATTAAAATAAGCTCCAAAGCAATGGTATGAGAAATTTTGAAAAAAAACATAATTTCTAATGGTTACTTAATTAATGATGGTGATATTTACATATTCAGTAAATTTCAAGGAAACTCTGGTGTTCTAATTTGTCTATATGTAGACGACATGTTGATATTTGGAACTGATATTGAAAGATTCAAGGAAACTAAATCATTTTTTGCTTCTCAATTTGAAATAAAAGATCTCGGAGAAGATGATGTGATTTTGGGCATTAAAATTATAAGATCAGCTAATGGCTTGACTCTTACTCAATCAAGTTATATTGAGAAAGTTCTAAAAAGATTTGGTCATTTTGACGATAAGCCTGCTCCTACTCCATTTGATCCCAGCATCAAACTAGTGCGGAACTCTAGCGATGGTGTTGATCAGTTGACTTATTCTCAGATTGTTGGGAGTCTAATATATGAAATGTATTGTACTAGGCCAGATATTGGTTATGCAGTAGGAACCTTGAGAAAGTTCACCAGTAACCCCGGAGTTGAGCATTAGGATGCCTTAATTCGTGTTTTAAGGTACTTAAAGGGTATGATTAATATTGGCCTTCATTATTCTACTACGATTAATATTGGCCTTCATTATTCTACTTTTCCCGCAGTTTTTGAAGGCTAAGTGATGCTACTTGGAATTTTGATTTGAATGACTTTAAGTCTATTACTGCTTGGATTTTCACTTTGGTTGGAGCAGTAATCTCTTGGAAATCAAAAAAAACAGACATGTATTACTCATTTACAATGGAATCAGAATTTATAGCTATGTCTTCTGCTGGAGAAGAAGCTGACTGGCTTAGAAGTATTCTAGTAGATATTCCTCTATGGAGTAAGCCAGTGCCACCTTTGACTATTATTATGATAATAAAGCTTCTATTTCGGGATTCAAGTGATTGTTATAATGACAAATCAAGACAAGTTCGACTCAAACACAATCATGTGAGAAGATTATTGGAGGATGGCATAATATCCCTTCAATACGTAAAGTCCAGGTTTAATTTAGCAGATCCTTTGTCTAGAGGATTAGGCAAAGAGTTGGTGGTAGAGACTTGTAAAGGGATGGGAATAAAACCTATTGTAAATTGATTGTACTTTATAGAAATCCTACCTAATCATATCATCTTAGGTTCAAAGGGACAAACAAGTAATGTTACAATAGTCATTAATAAAATTCTCATTCGCATAAAATTTATGATAGTTGTGCATATTCCTACTGTAGAGGAGGATGAGATTTTATTCTCTTAATAAATCTATAAGATCGATTTCGGCTGGGGTGTGTAGGAACACTCTTGATAGATTTATCGATACTTTGTTGTGAAGGAGCGTGAAATTAATTTCTCTTAAAAAATTCATAAACTATTTGGTCTGAGTATGCAAAGTAACTCTTGATGAATCCACCGCTCTAAGTGCGAAGTGGAGGCCGCTTCAATATGACAGGAAAATCTTAAAATACTTAGATAAAAGGATTCAGGACACATGGTCGTAAGGTATCAAAGAATTTTAATTTTCACTGAAAAGTAGTAATGTGCGTAAGGTATTTTCTACTTCATACGATGAACTACTTAGTTCAAGATTCGTTCACCAAGTAGTCAATGATTTAGTATGCCTTCACTAGCTAATGGTTCAAGTCCAAAAGACATCATTATTGATGCATGCTACTAGAATAATGTCTCAAAATTTTCAAAATTTCTTGAAACAAGTGGGGGATTGTTGGAATAAATATTTTAATAAATTTAAAACGTATTTGATAAATTAATGTATTTGATCAAAAGATTCTTTATTTTTTAAAGTGAATGAATGTAAATTCATTCTTGATTTACGACATACGTTCCTTTTATTTTAGTAAATACATCTTGATCTCCCAAATTCATGAACATATTAACATCTTTATTAAATGAAAAAACTTGTCTTTAAAGAGTCTTTAGCCTATAAATATGGCTGATTTTCTTTGAAAAAATACAAGCAATTCATAAACTACTTTTCCCTTAAAATATTATAAGAAACATTGATCAAATTGTGAAATCATAGATTCAAGAATAGAATAACAACATTCTTGAATGCTACTTGTTGTGTGGCTTAGTTTAATCCGGGAGATATAGTTGTCATTTATTCTTCCGTTTGCTCGTGGAAGAGGCCCCAACTATCTTCAAGAAACGTTTTCTCAACGTGCCTCTAAGCCAAGCAAGCTTGTTTTTGTTTTTTAAAATTGTTGTAGTCCTTGTTTTAACAGTTATCAATACAAACCTTGAACCGCGATAAACTAGACAATAAAAAAAATATACTAAAAGAATCCTAATATTTTAATATCGTTTGGTCAAGTGACCTACATCAATCTACTAATATAAAATGAGAGAGAAACTTATCGAGAGAATATTTTTCGCAACGAAGACTCTCTTAAAGACTACATTATAGATGTTATTGTGTGATTTTATGAAAAGGAAGAATACTCAATTTATAAAAGTGTAAACTTCTCCTTAAAAAAAGGATTGGTTAAATACGTAGGAGACCTTTTCCGCCAAGAACTTTTTTCACCAAGTATACTTTTTCCGCCCAAAAAAAGTAATTCTAATCATGATAGAAAATCATGACAAATCCTAACAAATCTCCGTCTCTAATTAGAAATCCTTGATTAGTGGAGGAGCACATATTGCTAGAAAATATGCTTATTGCTAGAAAATGTTTTGCTTTTCTTTGTGAACTTAATTATTAACCTCTCATTGAATTGGTTCTCCGTTGAGACGCTTTCATTAATTATTATTCAACAGTGTTTCCTCCTAGAATAAGTTGTTCGCTAGCAAATTCTTAATGTAGTTCCCTTCAGTTCTAGATAAGTAATTGTTCACTAGAAAATGATGAGTTTTCAAGATTTTACTAAAAGAGAAGAAGATGGTATCATTTTAGTTCAAATAACTAGCAAGTATGTCGATTAATTCGGGTTTGTTAGATTTTGGCCGAGAGAGTGAACCCTCAGAAAGAATAAGACACGTAACATCAATGAATTAGAATGATAAATATGAGATGAATCTATATCTTATCGATCCTGTATCATTTCGCGAATTACACATTTGACAAAATAAAATGAGTGAAACACTTTCGTATTTATCATCCACTTACACATCATGACATAAGTTTCTCAAAAGTATCTGTATTAAACATATCAAGCATATACGAATTAAGCTCAATAAAGAGAACTGATCCACCAATAACATGGGAACTTTTCTTAAGAAATATGAAAATATTGCTGATTTGCTTTAGTTCAAAGACGGTTTTCACATTTTTATTGGTGGAGCGGTTCAGTTTTAGGGTGCAATATTTCAATCCATGGAACAAGATTTATGGCCTTTGGAATGGCATGCTATGGGAAGACACGATTAAAAAAATCCATTTTAGTGCTCCTAAAACGAGTTGCATGCTCAGCCTTTTCTTTAATGATAAAAGTACAAAAACTAAAGCACTTTTAATCTCAACTACAAAATCACGTCGTCATCTGACAGTAACTAGCTTGCTAGGATTTGGAACCACCAAATAGACAAATCAGACCAGGCCTGAAAGAAATTGTTAGCAAAATGCATCAATTTTCTTTCCAACAAACTACTTAGTTCACTCCTTTGCTGAAACAGGATATGTAACACTGTACAGAGCATGTTCGGGACTTTTACTCTGCTATCAACCTTAAAATCTCCTTGGCTGTCCGTAACCTAAAATATGGCATGTGTTCCTACAAGGAAAGGACAAGATTGTTTATTCTGCAACATGCATGTCGTTCAAAAAGTCTGTGAACTTCCAAAACATGTAAACAAGCTGAAAAGATATTGCGTTCTAACACAGATAGCAGAGGATGGTCAAAAATGCAGAAAGGTAGCAGATAATATTGCAGCACATCGATTTACCTGATTAAAACGGAGTCCTATATCTCTGCTGTAGAAGTCAACATATTTGATCATGAACATACCGCAGTAAAATTTGTTCATACTGGTAGTTTTATCAGTATGACCAGGCAATAAACTTAAGCCACAGAAGTCAGTAGAACATTAAGTACCAATAGAGATCCAAAGTTGATTCATATTTCTTGCAACCCGAACCACCTAAATAAATATTTTAGGCAAACCATGGTAGCAAAATTTAGGGTCAAGTAATTAGACCTTCCCACTAGTTTTAACAAAAATTGAATCCCCCCTCCCTAGTTTGATATTTCATCAGATCACCTTCTACCTTCTCCTGCAGTTAGCCTCTGTTATTAGCACATTAAAAGCACAAAAAGTTCCCATACATTTGCCCTCCAACTTTAGTGTATTCAACAGAAAACACAGAGCTAAATAAATTTATAGATATTTCTAGAAAGGGAGGAAGATTCATCACCCACCTCACTCCCCTACGAGCATAATGCCATCTACCTCTCCCTACCCTAGCTTTGCTGATAGACACACATCAGAAAGAACACTTGCAGTAGGAGATATGGTTTCTGTAAAGCAACAGCCCACAGCCCCATAGGCCGGTTTTTCTCCTATTTTTTTTGGGTCATTATATAACCTTATATGGAGGATATCAAACAAATAACTAACAATTTGACACCATCAGCTTTTATCATCAAGGAGGAATGTCTTAGTTATTTCTCAAACTGCAAAAAGGAGGTCCATCAAATGTTAAATTAGAGATGTCTAGGTTTGACCCTAAAACTTAAATTCACATACAGCGAAATATCTTTCTGATTTGTTGCAAAATTGAGCACAAGAAAAAGCAATCCAATTAGCATAACAAGATTCAAATAGGAATTTTGCTCAACGCAGAACAGGGCAATTAACATGAACTTGTACAAGCAGCAAGAAAACCACTAATTCTAAAGAACATCTTGGTTAAGGTCTGTAAAATGTTGACTGAGAACTGTCTGGAACTTGTAGGGCTATGGAAAACATTATGTTCTACTTCAATAACTACGGTACTGTTAATACCATAATTGGGCACAGAATAAATGGTGTATCTGATCCATATGAAACAATAATAAGCAAATAAAGAACATTCTATTCAAAATGCACACCCTAAATTGCATTAAATCCATTGAAACTAATTATGCAAGAAGAACCACTAGTGCTATAGCATAGAACCTCCTATCCATATTTACACCATACAAGACATGATACACTTCTATGTGAAGGTGTAAAATACAGGCCTTTAGCTCCATAGAGAAGCAAAAAACTTATATGCATTTGAAAGAATGGGATATGCAAAGAACAGGATAGCACAAAGTATTTATATCTTTTGGACATGTTAAATTTCATTTAAAGCAGGCTGTAAGCCAACTTAAAGCACTAAAAACAAAACCATTCTGCTGTAAATAACATGTTACTCAATAGCATTACAATGGCCATCTTTAATTAGATGCACATCATTTCTATGCTTACAAGGGATAAAGGGATCGGAAAGTATTAGCAGAATGCGGACTATTCATGACTTTAAAAGAGACAAAAAATACGGCTGCCAATAGGAACTCAACCTAACAGCTAAAAATAAAACCATTATGTCCTAATAACATGATATTCTAACAGCAGTAGGAGGACCATCTTTACTTAAAACGCAACATAAGTCACAGTGGAAAATCCTTAGCTATTCATATTGACCATTGATCAGATAAAATTCACAAGATAAAAAAGGAAAAAATCAGACAACTTTAGGAAATAAAAACCGGAGACAAGTGAAAACTACCTGAAAGAGAACTACTTCTTATGGTCACTTTGAGGACATTTAACAGATATCGTGTGAGGTAAAGTTGGATCAGCAGCTACATCCAGCAGGTTTTTCCTTGTAGCCTCAGTCCCTTTGGCAGAAAAGGGAGATACTAGGCTCTCAACATATATGAATGCAGTAGGGTGATCAAGCCAGTTGATAACATATGGGTTAGGTCTCCACACTTCATCACGTGTATTATATATGTTGGCAGTTGAATTAAACAGCATCAAAATTTCATCTGTTATCGAAAAAAAGTATGGCAGCATGAATAGAGGACCAAAACCAGTTAGACCAACACCATCAGGATACTTGATGATAAACTTTTTATTCCAAGATCCTTGTACTGCATATTTCTGCATAACCCACACATCAATGTGAGTTCCCTCACAATCAACAAAAAGAGATAGATCACTTCCTATAACCCCCAGCCACAACACAAGTTCTCCTTCTTCATAGCAGGGCTTCTCCAGTGTCCCCCATTTCTCATCAGCCAAATTAAAAGAAATGATGTTCCACCGCTTATCAGGACCATCAGTAGTGTAACTCAGCCAATGTAGACTCCCCTCAACAAACGTACCTGAAACCCCTTGTAGATTCCCACCACTCAATGCACTTGGTAAATCATCAAGAGATTTCCAAGAATCACTCTTGAGACTATACAATTGGACCTTGCAGCAATGCAATCTTTGATAACCACGGAATGTTCCCAAGAACTTATAATCGTCATGAAGCATATCATATCCTAAACCATAAACTCGAGTGTCAAACCAATAATCAGGTTTATGATCTGGCAATTTCTTGTACCTTCTAGTTGATGGATTCCATAGAAATAGATCTTCTTTAAAATCCTCAATATCAACTAAACGTTCTGTATCTATGTCGTCATAACCTTGAAAAATACAGCCATCAACTGAGCCTATAAGACAGATCAAGCCATGAACTGAACCTAACACCACTATAGAATCAGGGACCCTCGTGTACAACCCATCTGATACCAAGCGCGGATGCAATGCAGAGACATCGCTGAAGGTGGTAGAATTGTCAAACAAAGAACTGAGATAACATTCCTCTATTTTTATCTGAGGTCTATGACACCACATTACTTTGTGGTAGGCCTTGTTTTTAAGGGCTAATCTGAGGTGGTCCTTGACAAATTTAGGGCTAGTAATTAATGCACGCCATGATTTTGAAACACATCTGAATTTTACAATTAGTTTCACGGGCAGCCTTATGAGGATCTCAGTGATTATGTCCTTTGACAGGAAAGGGTATTGAAAGCTTGAATGTCCGAATGGAGCTAATGGAAGTTGAGTATCTGTGCGTTTTCTTTCATATTCCATTTGGATTGACAAATTACAGCTCTTTCCCTCATTATCAGTATCAAGGGTATTCCAATAGTTGCCAGACTTGGTGGCCATCAATGACTCGTCACAGTCTCTACTCTTCTCTCTATCCATCCATCTTACATAGCTATCAAATTTCTTTAGGCTACCAGCTTCATCACTGTTGACTCCACCTTCTAAGGAACTGATTTGAACTGCAGTATCAGGACTAACAACAGTCTGAGAGATGGAAATGTTCTGAATCTGAGGTGGAGCTATATGGGTATTCTCCTACAATAAACAAAAGCAGTAGTAGCATTAAACGGCATGCTTATAATAACTAACATAGCATATCAACATTCTAAAACCAAAAGCGCAACCACTATTTTAAACATTCCAGTTCAAACGTATGAGCAAAAGATAGAAGATAATTTCAGTCTTAATGTGGCCCATAATAGGTTATTAGCAATTATTAATGTGTCCTATATCAGAGGAATAATTCTAAATCAATATATGCCAACCGAAGATAGGATACCTCTATGTCAAATACTTTTGTATAATATCTTTTTGAGAAATACTTTTGTATAATATCTACTTTATAAATATAAAATCTAGTACCTTTTATGGGTATGCTATCAGAACCAGCCTATGGCAAGCGATAAAAAAACTAAAAATAGGTTTGGTCATGTTAGTCTTACAGATGAACCAGTGACCAAATACTGAAAATTTCTCTACTAACTTGTATACATATTAGAGAAGCTCAGCGCAACTAAACATGTTTGCATTGAAGATATATACCAAGAATTTACCAATTCCAACATTTCACTTGTCCTTAATACCTTGAACATCACCCTGCCCCTCTCCTTGAAAGAAAACAATAAAGAGGGACAGCAGTGACTACATGAATACATCTATAGCACAGATATAGTACCTCAAGTACTTCCCCAGAAGTAATAGCCAGACATATATCTATAGCACGGATGTAGTACCTCAAGTACCTCCCCAGACAGTAATGAGCTAAATCGTGAATTGAGCTGAAAGCTGTCCCTCGAGGACTCCACAAGTCCTGACAAGACAAAGCAAGGTATTTTAGTTTGTATTATATAAGAACAACTTTGTGAAGTGCTATAATACTGGACAAGTTTCCTCATACAAACATTATGAATTAAGGTAAGCATCAAAGAGAAAATTATCTGTTTATTTTTCTGTGCTGAAAGAAGAGGTATTGGGCAGGAAATGACCACCTGCAGGTACTAGCAAGGGGTCCGCTTCATTTCTTTTGGCATGACCACTATGAAGTTCAGAGGAGAGCACATATTCTTTCCAGTCAACTGAGCTTGGAGTTGATGTATGAGATTCCTGAACTATTAGGTCAGACTCAAAGCAAGGCGCGGAACTACTTTGAGGATTTTCAAGCAGTAGCCCTGGATGTACAGGTTGCAGACAGGAGGCGCCTACTATGTAGCCCTGCACGGCACATTTCAATAGTATATGTTAACCTATCATGACAGAGACTAAGATCACAAGCCATCTCCTAATAAGCCAGTTTGCAACACATGCCCCCAATACCTTCTGTATTCATCCCCAGAAACAATAAGAATCAGGTGAATTGACTTGCAGAATAAGTTTTCCCCAGTTACTATAATCGTGCAGAAAAATCAGTTTTGTACTCTATGCAATAACTTTGGCATATATCATTGTGTTTCCAGGAGTAACGGCAGATATTTCCTTGGAACAACTAAGTGAACAAAATATTCTGGTAATTATTAGATTAGCTAAGCACAATCAACCTATTTCATGTGCAAACAAAAGGATCTTTTACAACATATGAGCAGGACCAGAAAAGACCCTTGTATAGCGTAATGAATCTAATACATTTCCTGTTATTGACCACTGTTCCTGATCTTCAATAGCACGTTGTGATGTTTTTAAGATTGACTGACTAATAACTATACAGATCAATACAAGTAAATTGGGTGCACGCCTTAAAATAGTAATACGATGTCTACTGAGAATGAAATCCTCCTTTCCTGATCATACAAATCTTGTTTCTAGTTATATGACATTTTTTTTCTATCCAGGAAGCCTCAAAATGTTAGACGATCCATTAATAATATTACTCTACACAATTTTCACAACTTTAAAAAATTCAATTTGTTTAAATACTCAAATTTTTGAACTTTGATGTGATATTTTCTCTATCAAACTTACTTTTCAACCATACTTTAATAATTTCTTCCACTACCCCTAGCATCATACACATGTCAATTATCATCTGAAACTCCCATTCTAGTCAAACACAGTCATATAATATGAAATTGAGGAGTACTTCTAATATTCCTTGGAGTTATTGTGGACATTTAACTCATATTTCCCTTTCCTCTACCCTAGAAATTTGCTTCTCAAATCAGGGTCTAAGAACAAGAATACAATGAATCCATCACTTTTGCCAGAAAACACATAGAAACCACTTCTAAAAGTTATAAAGTAGAGAACACCGATAGATGCATGTAGAGATATATGATGTGGGACCATGTAAATACAATGAATCCATCACTTTTGCCAGAAAACACATAGAAACCACTTCTAAAAGTTATAAAGTAGAGAACACCGATAGATGCATGTAGAGATATATGATGCGGGACTATGTAAAACAGAAGATAGATATTAAGTGCAGAATCAGAGAATTAACAAACAACAACTCATCCCAGAATAGCATACAGAAAGCACCAAATGATTAAACTAATGAGTAAAAGAGGAAATACCTCTTTTACTTCTCTATAATGCACAAGGATGATGTGCTCCATTGGTCTGTAAAAGCAAATCAAGAGCAATAGCGATGTTAAATTCTACAAAGGACCAAATCAATACTAAGAATATTGGATATCTTTTTTATATCTCCACCTTCAGTCTTTTTCTCTAGAAACTATAGGATTTCAACCATAAAGAATGATCATTGTCTATATCTATGAAGCACATGAATTGTTTTTAAAAGCCCTTGCACTAAAATGTGAGCTAGAGAATATACTCCCTCCATTCTCTTTTACTTGCTTTTTGCCTTTTGCGCAGCCCTAAAGAAAAACATTAACTTCCTCTTTTGTATTCTTCGATATCAATTTGTTACTACTTCCTTTCAGCACATTAATCTCTCTCCTAATTTATTAGAGTAAGGATAAAACTGGACAAAAAAAAAAGAATCAATTCTCTCCTGTTTTTCTGAAACAGCAAACATTTTGAAACAAATATTTTTACTAAACGGGACAAGTAAAACGGAATGGATGAGTACTAAGCCCCACAAATGAAGGAGGATGTAATTATCTGAGGAAAACTCTAGCCTTCTAATAAGCCAATAGTACCACAACTTGGTCATGGAGTATTTACCTAGAGGAATTTTAAATTTTATTTGTTTTGGTAAGTCCCTACAGAACAATTCTCTCTTTGCTAGAGCCAAAACTTCCAAGGCATAATCAACCCCAAAAGAGATCTGAAAGAGTGAGGAAATTACTAAATATACAGTAGCACCCCTTACTGTTGAATGTGCAACGCAAGAAGTAGGACTCTTGGAGTTACTTTTGTAACTTTATTTGGTATATTTACAGCAGGTGATAAGCGCCTTTTTTTGGGATAACTACATTTTTAGCCGCTCTAAAATATAGTACCTGGCAAATGTATATGTTTTATATATATTAAATATATTATACATATTGTATACATAATTAGTGTATATATTTTGCATATTTGGGCTAGTGCCCCGAATTAATTTTGCCGATGGGTCAAAAAAAAAAAAAAAATATATTTTTTTTTCTTCAATGACCCAAAGACCACCATAACTGGTTTTATCTTGGAGGTGCTTCCGCCTCAACCTATGAAAGGCAGAGGAAAAAGTAAAACGGAACAGAGGAGTACTAAGTCCCTCAAATGAAGGAGGATACAATTATCTGAGGAAAACTCACGCCTCCTAATAAGCCAATAGTAGCACAACTTGGTAACGGAGCATTTCCCTAGAGGAAATTTATTTATTTATTTGTTTTCATAAGTCCCTATAGAACATTTCTCTCTTTGCTAGAGCCAAAACTTCCAAGGCATAAGCAACCCCAAAAGAGATCTGAAAGAGTGAGCACAATTCTTAACTACACAGTGGCACCTCTTATTATCGAATGTGCAATGCAAGAAGTAGGAGTCTTGGAGTTACTTTTGGAACTGTATTTGGTGTATTTACAGCAGGAAATAAGAGCTTTTTTTTCTTCAATGGCCCAAAGACAACCATAAATGGTTTTATTTTGGAGGTACTTACGCTCCAACGGTCCAACCTAGGAAAGCCAGAGGAAAATCACTTAAAAGCTCTAGACAAAAAGAGCATCCACAAGGTGATAGTCTAGTGGTTGAGGCATGGGAGTAACAACTTGGAGATCGCAATTTTGAATTCCAGCTACAACACTTGGTGTGAGCTATCTGCTCCAACAGGGGTGAACAAGGCTATCTTGACACCCTGCACTAGTGGGCTGGATAGATTGTCTGGTGGATTAGTCGAGGTGCACACAAGCTAAGCCGAACAAGATTGATCTTAAAGCAAAAAAATACAACAATGAAACGAAATACTGACAGTGGAGTGGATTATACCTGGTCACTTAACTACTTGAAACATCACAATAAGTAGTGTCAATTGAACTTAAAAGAGTAAAAAGGACATCTATCCATATACATTCCACAAATGGTAATGATTCCTTGCAGGAAACTCTCTCAAAATCAAAGACTATGCTCACTTAACCAAAACCAGATCCCCTTATTCTTTTACTAGGGGAAGGAAAAGGAGCCTACCGGGATGTAAACCTCCAATGACTTCAATATGTGAAGTTATCATGTATTCTTCCTCCAAAGTATTCTAACAAATCCATTTTCTATTACTTGCATCAAAAAATATTCTGGCTCTCAAGGCAACCACCAATGGCCGTGTTTTTTAAAGAACTATGGGGTGAGAGAGGCCCCCAATGACCGTGTTCCGACCAAAGAAATGTTTTGGAACACCAGACTTCCCAAGCCCAAACTAACAAAAGCCTCCATACCGTTTCAATATCCCTTCAGAAGAAATCACACCTTGTGCAATCAGTCCTATCAGCTTTTAATTTCAACGTCTCTTGCAAGGAAAGCCAATAGAAAGATGTATAGGAATGCATGCCTGAATAAGGGTTACATGGTCCCACAACTAGCAAAAAGAGACTCCACATATCCAACCTCTAAAAATCCCTTGAACAACATTGACTATACATTCTCATTCTTTTAGCTTTAATGTACAGCACGAAGTCTAATCAAAAGTTTCGAAGCTTGACAATAAAATGAACAGTAAGGAATATTCAGATAACTGATAAACGTGAAAAAAGATGCAGAAGAGCCACCAGGAAAATAAAATGATACTAACAAATTAAACTGATCAGTACTTGACAAACTACATACTCTACTTCTGCAATAACTATTTTCCCCTAGCACACACACGTCTTCGACCTCAATGCAACAGCACAGAACAAGTTAACAGAATACCGAATAACAGAGAGACTCACTCTTCAAGCATCCAATAACTTCGCCTCTGAAAGTTCTCGTTGTCCTCCCCATGGGCATAGTAACAGTGAAGAACATCATTGCTTCCTGCCTGCAATCAGAAAAAAAGTTAATGTTTTGAATGAAGAGAAAGTTACTAGATGCACAATAGCTTGGTCAAAATCTAGTCAACAGTACATCCAAAATGTAAAACATTTATTGATCGGCGATTAAAACCAGCGTAAGATAACCTTAGTATTTAAATATTACTACAACTTGGAGCAGAAGTTTACCATGGTCTTTCACCGGTGGTTCTTGTCTTCCTTTTAAATTCAGCTTGATAATTTTATGTTCCAGAGGTGGAATACAACTTCACACAGCATAGGCCGTGTCTTTTGTTCTTTATTAACTTTTGGTGCACCCACGAGGTCCCTTCTAGTATACATGTCTGGTTGTCTTTTGTAGAGAACTATATTTTTGTATAGGTTTTATACGTTTTAGCATACTTCTTCTACATACGGGATTTCTCCACAATATCAATAAACTATTACTTCATCCCCAAAAAAATAATCAAAGGATTGCCTAATTTACTAAGGATTGCTCTCAGATGAATGAAGTCACCAAGCCACACTAATTTTGATCAAGTAGCTAATATTTCAGTTAAGCAATAGAGATATCAGAAATTTTTAATCATAGAAATCACCTTGTCAGAGTGAAAAAAGTAAAGTTTCTAATTCTGTGGGCAAATAATTCTTTCCAAGTGATAAAATCATAAGCTTATGACCTCCTTATTACCAATCTCCTGCTTTCACTACAGATTGAAAAGGGCAATCATATCCATTTGTTAGGTGCAAGTGTACCCAATAGATACTAAATTCAACAATGCGATACATGTTGTCTTTGCTAACAACAAGAACAAGATAAAAGGGAAAACATCAAGGCTAAGCAATGATAACATTGGACAGTGATATTGACCAAGTGAGCTTAAGGACAACAGAATGAACAGAACACCTTCAATTTTTCATGTATTTCTTTCACAGCTTTACCGTCCTCCTCCTTTCTCCACTGGTGACCATCTTCACAGAAATATGGTAGTACTTTCCGATCAAATAGATACAAGGAACCGCCTGAAAACCAGAAGCTACATTAGTTTGAATGAATACAAAAGAACACCCACACTATCACTGAGCATCTCCCAATTTCCGAAATACTACTTTCAGTATAAACTGCAGTTTGTTTCAGGACGATAAGCATGTCAAATTATTGATTTCCTGACATCTAAAAAAAAAGTTAACGCATGAAGATAGAGGGACGTATAATCATCAACCTGGAGGTCTGAGGGGAGGCTGTGGAGTCAAGCCGAACTTTTGATGATTGCGCAAGATTTCACAGATTTCATCCGGCCGAAACCAGCGGTGCTGGGCTTCCTGCAGTATCTGTCCGACATCTGCAAGAAATCAAAAAATATATGCCTACATTTTTAGATGACTTTGTCTCAAAGTATCGACCAACCCTTATGCGATTTAACACTGAGAAAAAGCGATAAAATCTGAAATGGCATTAGGAAAGTACTTGCGACAAAGAAATCTGTATATTTACTCCTTTTTTCCATTTCAAGAAAATAAAATTAAAAATAAAAACGTGAAATTGTGACGAAGTAGAAGAGAAATACATTCAAATGTTCCAAGAGTCTACATATTCAACAAGATTTGCATTCAAGAAAAAACAGAGAAAAGAAGTGAAACTCGTCGATAGAAGCAATTGAACTTAAAATACACAATATACAAGCGCATTTCTTCACAAAATTGATAAAATTAACAAGAGAGGGAGAGGAAGAAATACCTAAAGATTTATTGTAAAGATAACGTCCGGTGTCGGTCACGAGTAGAAATGGAGCGAAAATGAATACTTCAAACTTCATGATGAAAAACTGAGAGAGCTGCGTAAGTGTTATCACTGATAGCCAAGATACTGCAATTCAGTGATTATGATTTGTGATTGGAATACCGTTTCAATTCAGCCAAGATACTGCAATTCAGTTATACTGCAATTCAGTGGCCCTGGGTTTTAGAGAGAGTGTCCGGAAAGTCAAACTTCTGTTTGATTTATTGAACTAAGGCGCGTGAATAAAGATCGGAAGAAAGACACAACGAGTCCCTTTTAAAAATATTTATAACCAAAATATTTCTTTTTAAATGACAAAATATGTACTTTTTGAAGATTATATTACGCGGAATGCCCCTACCTTCTTATGTCAAAGCGCCACTAAAGCCCTCCCCGTTTTTCTTTCTTTTCCTCCTCTTTTTGTTTATTCACTCTCTTTTTTTGTCTTTTTTACTTTCTCTTATTTTTTTTCCTATTTTATTGTTATTTTTTCACTTTGTTTTTTTTTTCTATTATAATTATAATATTGCACTCTTTTTCACTTTTTTATTGTAGTTATTTTTTGTTCTTTCTATTAATAATCACTCACTCTTTTTCACTTTATTTTTACTTGTGTTAATTTGTTATGATTTCTAGATGTATTTCATTCTTTTAAAATTTTATTCTTTTTATTAAAAAAATATCTTCTTCCAAAATACTTATCACTTTTTTCAATTTTTATTTTTTCTATTTTATTATCTTTTTACTTCTTTGTAATAAAAATATGCACCCTGTCTAGTTTCTTATTTCATTTTCTTCTCTTTTTGTAGATTTTTTTTTTTTTTGGTTATTTCTAATAATAAGTTAATAACCCCTCACTTTTTTTCACTATATATTTTCGTTTTATTTTTTATTTTATTTTTTTGCTATTTTTCTTTATTTTTTCTAATTTTATTCTTTCAATTACAATAATTTATTTCTTAGTTTTTGATATTTTTTGCCATATTTTTTATTTTTCTTAATTCTATTCTTTCAAGTAGAATCAGTTATTTCTTCGTTTTTTATCAACCCCTTATAATTGTTATTATTATTATTTTTTATCTTAGTTTTTAACTTGTTTTTTAAATAAAACTCCTCTGCCAATATTTTTATTACTTTATTCCAGTTTTATTTTATTTTTATTCTTTCTGAATAAATAATGGAGTCCTAAAATTAGCATTGGGAATCTTTCTATACAATTATTAATCGATTATAATTACCGAGAGTTACCGTGTCACTCATTTTTATTTTTATTTTTATTTTTGTAGATATTTTTCTCAATTTTGTAAGAAAAAATGGATTTATTTATAATAAAAATTTGTCACCTTTTTATTTTTTACAGTTAAATCGTCATAGAATTTGTTATACTAGACTAATCATGTTATACCGATATGTTGTATATCAAAAATAAAAGATACCATGATTCAACAGTAATTATGGTATACTAATGTATAGTATACCAATAATATTAGGTATACCATTAAACATACTCAAACAGAGTATACTATGATTCAACACCAATCATGATATACCGATATATATTATACCAATAATATTGGGTATATTATTTAACATTCTCAAATAACATTTACCATGATTCAATACTAATCATGGTACAAATATGTGTAGTATATCAAAAATATTAGGAATATTATGACTCAATAGTAATCATAGTATACCAATGTATAGTATACCAAGAACACTAGAAATACCATTTAACATACTCAAATAAAGTATATCATAATTTAATAGTAATTATAGTATACCAAGAATATTAGATATATCATTTGACATACTCAAACAAAGTATGCCATGATTCAACACTAATCACGATATAACAATGTGTAGAATACCAAAAATATTGAGAATACCATAATTAAACATTAATCATAATATACCAATGTGTAATATACCAAGAATATTGGATATATCATTTAACATACCCAAACGAAGTATACATGATTCAACACTAATTGTGGTATACCATTGTGTAGTATACCATAATCAATGTACACATTACACCAATAATATCGGGAATAGCATTTGACATACTCAAATAATATATATTATAATTCAACGATAATCATGATATATTTTTTTATTTTTCTTAATTGTTTTCTTTTCAGTAAGAATCTCTTCGTCCAAAATATTTGTCACTTTTTTACCTTTCTTTTATTTTTTTATTGTTGTTTTTTTACTTTATTTTTTTCTTTCTAATAAAATTTTGTACTATATTGTAGTTATTTTCTTTTATTATCTAGAGTTATCATGTGACTCTTTTTTTTTATTATCTTGAAATTTTTATTTAATAATTGTAAATAATTTTTTGCAATTTTATAAGAATTTTAAGTTTTTTAAAATAAAATTTTGTCACTCTTATAACATTTATTATTCTTTTATATTTAAATCGGTAATTCAATCCTAAAATTTGATATACTATGCTAATCATGATATTAATGTGTAGTATGCCAAAAATATTGAAAATAACATCATTCAACAATAATCATAGCATACCAATGTGTAGTATACCAAGAATATTATGAATACCATTTAAAATACTCAAACAAAGTATACCATGATTCAACAGTATTCGTGGTATACCAAGAATATTGGATATATAATTTAACATACTCAAACAAAATATACATAATTCAACACTAATCATGGTATATCAACTTATAGTATATCAAGAATATCGAGAATACCATGATCAACAGTAATCATGGTATACCAATATACAGTATACCAAGAGTATTGTGTATACCATTTAATATATTCAAATAACGTATACATTTTGAATCGTTGTATACTATATAGTATACATCATGATATACTATACAATACTCCAAGAATATTGGGAATATCATATACATACTCAAATAAGGTATAAAATGATCCCACATTAATTATAATATACGTTGTTGTATACCATAAAACACGCTACGAAGCTGTTCGTGCACTCAAAACACCAAAAAGAGGTCGTCTTAATTCGATATTTACCGTGGTCAAACTCCAAATTCTTAACTTAACTAGTCTCTCAATCAATAATTCAAAACACATGTGAGCCCCTCGATACTCCATCCAATCATACCAACAAGTATAAATAACTTATCCAAAGTCTCAAAACATCCACGGAAACATCAAAACAAAGAATCGAGGCTCAAACCAAATAGAATTTCTCTTAAGTTGTTAAATCTTCATTCGTTCAAAAGAGTGTTTGAATCACAGTTACACACTTCGAATTACTTCCAGGCTTTACATCCAAGTTCAATTCAGCTAGATAGACCTATTCAAAGTCTCGGAACACCAATCTATATATATATATATTAGAGGGCCCTAAGCTCGGTGATGTGGCACTCTCAATAATCAGCAATTGAATTTTCTAGGCTCCATGTTTTTCCCGGCAATTTCAAACTGAAATTACAAAAAATAAAATAAAAACGCTTCGCATATTCTTCGGGCACTGCTTCTTCACATCAAACAAACCTCATCTAAACTTTCAACTGCGCTTCCACTTTCCCTTCTTCCCGCGCCGCTTCTTCCTACCAAACAAACCTTCTTTAAATTTTCAATTCCGTTTCCCCTGCTCCAATTTACCAAGACCTAACAAACCCTTCTTTAAATTTACAATTCCCTTTCCCCTATTCAAATTCCCCCCGCCCTCTTAATTAGTGAATTAATTTCTATCAACTCAACTACATCTCCCTTCTTTGCCTTATTTCTGATTTGCAAGTGTTCTATCTATTCCGACAAAAAAGTTTATTTCCTTCGACGCCAATGAAGACATCTGAAGAACACCGCCCCCCAAACTGTTTCAGAGAAAAGTGATATTCGCTCCATAATTCCCGGTCTGTAATCCTTTTACAGTTATTTATCATTTATGCATTATTCTTACATATTTGCCTCTTACTAACTTCTATGGAACCTAATCTAATTGTATAGGTCTGGGCAAACAAGGATGTGAAAACACACACAAATAAGATTGAGGAACAGTCCGAACCTTCTTCGCATTTATGTTTTCCCTAAGAAATTATAACGTCACTATTCTTTGATACTATAATTTTCCCCCTAATCAACAATTAAGGATGTAAAGAATATAACCAATCGCTGTTTACTCTTCTTCCTATTTCATTCACGCCACATCAAATCCCATCTTTTACTCCTAAATGTTCTGATGTATTTCTACCTTCCTTTTTGGATGCAAGCAATAATGAACACCCAACACTTAACACAACTTTTGCTATCTTAGTGGTTGCTCAGAAGATCTTTATTCAATTGTTCTGTTTTAATACCTTTTGTTCGTCGTATGATACCACTGAATGTCATATTGGAATCCTTCTCATCATTCTGAACTGGACGAAAAATTATAATATATCATTTTTGTTCTTACTACTAAATCTCATCACATGATTCAGAGGCATATGATAATGTTGCGTTTCCACTTGGTAATATATGTCAGNCGTTTCCCCTGCTCCAATTTACCAAGACCTAACAAACCCTTCTTTAAATTTACAATTCCCTTTCCCCTATTCAAATTCCCCCCGCCCTCTTAATTAGTGAATTAATTTCTATCAACTCAACTACATCTCCCTTCTTTGCCTTATTTCTGATTTGCAAGTGTTCTATCTATTCCGACAAAAAAGTTTATTTCCTTCGACGCCAATGAAGACATCTGAAGAACACCGCCCCCATACTGTTTTAGAGAAAAGTGACATTCGCTCCATAATTTCCGGTCTGTAATCCTTTTACAGTTATTTATCATTTATGCATTATTCTTACATATTTGCCTCTTACTAACTTCTATGGAACCTAATCTAATTGTATAGGTCTGGGCAAACAAGGATGTGAAAACACACACAAATAAGATTGAGGAACAGTCCGAACCTTCTTCGCATTTATGTTTTCCCTAAGAAATTATAACGTCACTATTCTTTGATACTATAATTTTTCCCCTAATCAACAATTAAGGATGTAAAGAATATAACCAATCGTTGTTTACTCTTCCTCCTATTTCATTCACGCCACATCAAATCCCATCTTTTACTCCTAAATGTTCTGATGTATTTCTACCTTCCTTTTTGGATGCAAGCAATAATGAACACCCAACACTTAACACAACTTTTGCTATCTTAGTGGTTGCTCAGAAGATCTTTATTCAATTGTTCTGTTTTAATACCTTTTGTTCGTCGTATGATACCACTGAATGTCATATTGGAATCCTTCTCATCATTCTGAACTGGACGAAAAATTATAATATATCATTTTTGTTCTTACTACTAAATCTCATCACATGATTCAGAGGCATATGATAATGTTGCTTTTCCACTTGGTAATATATGTCAGCTTCATCGGGACTGTATTGACTCATCAATCCAGGTTTTTCCTTTTCAAAATCCCTAACTTTTATTTTTAATGCATTCATGTGCCTTTAGGACACATATATATTTAGGGTCTGCTTAAATTTATGCATAAAATAGTATGGAACCTGCAATTATTTTTTGCTCATCAACCAGAAGAATTCTTATATCTATGGACAAAATCTATATCTACAAATGTTGTTTATATATAATTTAGTGTTATGGATTTTAGACTCTATTAGATTCTTATTATAGCCTTGGATTTTGGTATTGCATATTAGTTCAACTTCCTGTTACTTCTCTTCCTTCAAAACTCACTCATTCGAAAACAATATCTATAAAATTTGTTTATAAAAAAGTCTGGTGATATGATGTTTAGACTATATTAGATATTCACCGTCACCGTATAGTTGTTCAACTTCCTCCTCTGTTAGTAATTTCTACTTTACACTTTTAAAGCTTCCCACGTAACTACCCGAGTTGCTGGAACATTGTAAGTTCAAACCACATTTTGCTCATTTTGGATCTACATTTGAGTGTTTATTGCTCATCATGTTGTTAATTACTTGACTTAATTACCTTATGACTAAATAGGCTATCTTTCTCCATAATACGCCAATGGTGGACATTTAACTCGGAAATCAGATATTTGTAGGTTCAGAGTTTTATTGCTAGAAATAGCCTAGACAAACCAAAATCCGCAATTTTGGGTGTAAAATTCTGATAGCAATTACAAATTGTTCAAGATTACATGCTACATAGTCCTTATTGTCAATATTCCATTGTGTTTTTTTGCACTGAATAATTTGATTTGCACATCCCATAACCATCTTTGTGACTTATTTGTTTTAATATCTGACTTCACCAAACATTTCAAATTTTAATATATTCAATTTTTTCAATACTTTATAACAGGTTTAATGGAATTGGTATCTGCTATTGTTAAAAAAATTAATGTTTCAACGAATGTTCAGCCGGAAATTATACTACTGCGGCAGCTTCTACCAGTTTTAGCTCGGCAAGAGAGGATGCTTAAAATAAAACTGAAGAGATATGCAACAACAGTTCGATGTAACAGAAGAATGATGAATTGGTTGATATCAAAAAACGCAGATATCATTATGCCAGATTGAAGCGGAAGGTCGTATTAATTCAAAAGAAATACGCCAATCAGCCACAAAAGAAAATACTCCTGCTACTACGATTTGTGAAACGATTCACAAAATTGATGAAGTTACGACACTGCATAAGGAGACACGTGTTCACTCAACAAAATGGTATATTGTTACTCATCAAGATATCTCTCTTAACGATAATGTCTAAGTGGTTATTTATACTCTTAAATTGATGTGTGAATATAGAAAACTAGAATAGTGGTGTTCATAAGATTAGGACCTTATGATGCTTCAATTCCAGTAGCACCATTGAACAAATTATGTCTCTTCTTTGGCTTTTACATAATCTAATCCCATCTGGATCCTTTCACCATGAATGCCAAATTGTGGTATTGTTGTACATGTAAATATTCTACGCATATTTGCTTTCGCGAAGCGACATCTCTTGCAGTTCGCATCTTACTTTATATACTAAAGAATATTTGTAAATACATTGCAGGAGACCTATGTATCCTGCGACATCATACACCAAAAGACGAAGCAAATGAAGTATCGGTTTATATGTGTTCTCAAAGCAGTAGAACTATACAAAACAATCTTCAACATACAGGTACACATTATTGGGTACAATACAGGTACATATTTTTTGTTTGTTACGAAATTTTCAAACATAACAAAAGCAGGAGTTAAAGGGTAAAAGGCACATTATTATCTGTGCATAACATGTTCAAAGATAGCATACTAAAATACTATAGAAAACAGTAAGTCTCCTGATATGGAAACACAAAGGGGAAAACAATTCTATACAATTTCTGCTTGAATAAACTAAATCCTACTTCAAAAGTACCAAATTGGAACAAATGTTGCATGTTGCTCAACTTAGCAGAAAATGCAATCAACGGGCTTCAGTTTGAATGTCCAGTGTTCTTTGCAATATAAATTGTCCTTGGAACATGAAAAGACTTGCTGGTGTGGCTATATAAATCCTCATTATCTATTTCACTCATTTCGGACCTGTTTCAATCCAATACTCAATAACATGGAGGTCTTTAACATTAGAGGTTCTCTGCACTTTCTACTGACATACAGATCTTAAATGACTTCAAAGACAGCTCGCAAACTCCTAATATATCTGCAAGACATGTCAATAACATTAGACTTGAAAGACAGTTCATATTGATATTGAAATTTCTATTTTGCAGGTCATAATACAACAAGTTGGAATTTTGGACCTCCTACAAACACCTGCCAATATTGTGGTGCCATTTTATGGTATGAAGAACGGACAAAAAAAACTAAACAGACAACACGGCCAAAATTCTCATTTTGTTGTATGGAAGGCCGTGTAAGACTACCGTTAATGAGCCAACCCCCGCCCTATCTCAAATATCTTTTAAGCACAGATTCTGGACAACTTGGTATCAGTTTTCGAAAAAATATCAGAGTTTATAACTCTATGTTCGCATTTACATCTATGGGAGGCCGAGTTGACAGAAGCATCAATCGTTCAAAGGGCCCATATGTTTTCAGGATGAGTGGTCAAAATTATCATCACATTGGCTCTCTGTTGCCGGAAAGTGGGAAAAAACCACAGTTTGCCCAGCTCTATATATATGATACTGAAAATGAGATACATAACAGAATGAATAGTCTGCTCCATGAAGAAGTTGATCCTAAAATTGTTCAGGGCTTATCTGAAATGCTGGACGAGCATAATATTTTGGCAAAAAAATTTCGAATGGCAAGGGATAGATATAAACAACATCCTGAATATGTTTTTCGTCTACGACTACTATCCGATAGGACAAGAGATGGCCGACAATACAATATACCCACAGCTTCTGAGGTTGCAGGACTAATAATTGGTGATCTTACTGATGAAAATTTCCAGCGAGATGTTATAGTAGAACATCGGAAAAACGGACTTCAAAGAATCACAGATTTACACCCAAGTTTCATGTCTATGACTTACCCATTAATACACCCATATGGTGAAGATGGATATAAGCTTGGAATTCTTTTGACAGATGTAATCAAAAAAACTTTCGTGAGAGAAAAATTGACAATGAGACAGTTCTACTGCTTCAGGATACAACAAAGACTTAACGAAGCGCACAGTTCTTCTACAAGCTGGTAGACTATTGCAGCAATACATTGTGGATGGTTACATGGCAATTGAAGAAGAAAGATTTCGTTATATTCGGAACAATCAAAAAAAACTCAGGGCTGATCTATTCTCTGGATTGATGGATGCTATTGTCCGAGGTGATTCTGATTGTTCAATGATAGGAAAAACCATTATCTTGCCTTCTTCACACACTGGGGGACCTCGATATAGGGTACAAAATTATCAAGATGCAATGGCAATTTGTAGGTGGGCGGGATATCCGGATTTGTTCCTTACTTTCACTTGCAACCCAAAGTGGCCAGAAATAAATGAAATGCTCCGTTTAATTGGACAAGAGAGTGATGACAACCGGGTTGATATCATATGCAGAGTTTTCCAAATAAAATTGTTCCAGCTAATGCAAGATCTGAAAAAGAATCAGCCTTTTGGAAAAATAATTGCATGTAAGTTAACTCATTCTGTACATAATGCACACATTACTAATAACATAAATATGCATGAAAGAAGTGTTAGTAACAGGTCTTTTGAATGTTAGTAATTCTCATTGTTATGAAAACTATAATTTCTTAGTTTATCCTAAAGGCTTTATGCTTTAAGAAGTTCGTCATAATCCAACTTAGTCGTACATAATTTCAATATACATGCCATTCACATCAATGTGCTTATCTGACTTTTGGTAACAACATAATGCATCATGCATATATGTGGGATAGTAAAGGATCTTGAAAAACTAAGCAACAAAAATATATTGAACTGTTAACGATGCTATTTGATGCTATTTTCACTAAATTTAATTAGACGATTTTACATAATTCTATTATGAAATGTATTTATATGCATGTATAGAAGTTCTCTTAGACTTATATTTGAAAACTTCAAAAGAAAGACATAGATGGTAAGTCCAAGCCAAAAAAACAAAAGAATAACTACTTAGTTAGAAGGAAGTTACATAGCTCTTAAGGAGCGATGATTTTCGCAGGTACATAATCGAATTGGCGTGCACACAACTATACCAATTATCCCAGTCTGAATAGCAACCCTAGCTACAGATCCAAGCTTCAAAAATAATTTCACCCATAATACATAACTATAAGACTTAATACCAAAAGAGAACAGATATTAAATTGTAGATTCATATACAATCTTTACCCATAAGCCCACCATTCACTAGGATTGGCTATGGAGTAATTATCATGAGCCACTAAACGTCCTGCCAATGTCCAGATAAGAATCATTGACGTATCATAAGTTTGTTGAGATTACTTTTTTTTAGCACAAATGTGCATAGACACCAGTTGTTATTGATATCACCAAATCTTTTTTGTCATGTCAGATTAAATCTCAATCTTAATCCAGGAAAACTTTTACCACCGAAAAACAGAGAATAATTACATAGTATAGCTTCTGCATATGTTGGTAAAAGAATATGTACTGCATGTCTTTTGTACCTGCATCCTAACCATAACCTTATACTATTCATTTACAGGTTTATATACAATTGAATTTCAGAAAAGAGGTTTACCTCATGCGCATATATTGCTCTTCCTGCATCCCACATTAAAAAGCCCCTCCACAGATCATATTGACAGAATAATAGCAGCAGAAATACCTGATTTGGAAGTTGATCCTTACGGTTATAATGCTGTTAAGAACTTTATGATGCATGGACCTTGCGGAGAACTGAATCCACATTGCCCATGTATGAGGCAAGGAAAGTGCACGAAGCATTTTCCAAAGAAATTCAATGATCGAACAACTTTTGATTCAGATGGATTTCCTATTTATAGGAGAAGGAACACAGGTACTCAAGTCAAGAAAAATGGCGCTAACTTAGACAATAGATATGTTGTCCCTTACAATAGGGATTTGCTTGTCAAATATGATGCACATATAAATGTCGAATTATGCAATTACTCAAGGTCTGTGAAGTACCTGTTCAAGTATGTCCATAAAGGGTCTGATAGAGCAACTGCAACTATAGAATCTACCAATACTGGTGCAGAAAATGATGAGATAAAAAAATATTTAGACTGCAGATACATATCAGCTACAGAAGCTTGCTGGAGGATCTTTAAATTTGACATACATTATAGAAAGCCGGCAGTTGAGCGTCTGCCTTTTCATTTAGAGGGACAAAACACAATAATATTCGAAGAAGAAAAGCGAGCAGAAAGCGTGATTAGCAAACCGGACATAGAAAAAACAAAATTCACAAAATGGTTTGAGGCGAACAAAAGATATGATGATGCACGAGAGCTGACATATTCAGACTTTCCTACGCGTTGGGTCTGGAATGCAAAGGACAAAACATGGAATAGAAGGCAAAGTGGGAAGGCAGTTGGTAGAATTTACTTCGCACATCCTGCAAGTGGAGAACGTTTTTATATGAGAATGCTGCTTAACTTTGTGAAAGGAAGCACTTCCTATGAAAGCATCAGAACAATAAATGGAGTGGAGTATAAAAATTATAGAGATGCATGCTACGCTTTAGGATTATTAGATGATGATAAAGAGTGGAATGACTGCTTAGCCGAGGCTGCACTTTGGGCGACAGGAAATGAGTTGAGACATCTATTTGTAACGATACTTATTTACTGTCAGGTATCTGATTCAAGCAAATTTTGGAAGAACAACTGTGAAATTTTATCAGAAGATATAACATCATTACAGAAGAAGAGATTTCAATTGAAAAATTTACAGTTAACTGAAAAACAAGTAGAAGCATATACGTTATTTGAGATTGAAACCATCCTATTAAAGATGGGAAAAAGTTTGAAAGACATAGATGGAATGCCGCTACCAGATTCTGCGTTACTGCGAAATGTGGGAAACCGTATGGTCAATGAGGAGCTAGACTATGACAAAGAGGAGCTAAAAATACTGCACGACAAATCATTCGCTCTCTTAAATGATTGCCAAAAGTCAGCTTATGATGCAATAATAACATCAGTTGAGAATGAACAAGGACGATTATTTTTTATAAATGGACATGGTGGTACTGGCAAGACATTTCTGTGGAATACAATAATTTCCAAGCTCAGATCACAATCAAAAATAGTTCTTCCCATTGCTACTTCTGGAATAGCAGCTTTGTTATTGCCAAATGGTAGGACCGCTCATTCGCGCTTCCATATTCATTTGGACGTTACTGTAGAATCCACTTGTGAAATAAAACAAGGCACCCAGTTAGCTGAACTTCTCAACAGAACTTCTTTAATCATTTGGGATGAAGCCCCCATGGCAAATAAGTTATGTTTTGAAGCATTAGATAAAACGTTAAGAGATATCCTGCGAGTCAGGTATGAAAATAGCTCTGACAAACCTTTTGGAGGCCTTACAGTTGTATGTAGTGGTGATTTTCGCCAAATATTACCTGTTATTCCAAAGGGTACCCGAGATGATATTGTTGATGCATCACTAAACTCCTCTTATTTGTGGCCATTTTTCACAATATACGAATTGAAGCAAAATATGAGACTATGCAATGGAAAAGTAAGTGATTACGAGGCTGATCAAATTGCTACTTTTGACAAATGGTTGCTACAGGTTGGAAATGGATCATTTTACGATGATATTAACAAGGAGCTCATCAAATTGCCTTATGATGTATGCATGAAATCATCTAACGACCCAATCGGATCGATTGTTGAGGCAGTTTATCCATCTCTCCTACAAAATTACAGTGACCCAACATATCTGAAAGAAAGAGCAATACTAACGCCAAAAAATGATATGGTACATGAGTTGAACGATAGAATTATGAAAATGATACCAGGTGAAGGAAGAACATATTTCAGCTCCGACAATGTATGCAAAGCGAGCGTGAACACTAACGATGAAGAACTGTTGTACCCAATCGAATTTCTAAATAGCTTAACATTCCCTGGCATCCCTAATCATGACTTACACTTAAAAGTAGGTACCCCAGTTATGCTTCTCAGAAATCTAAACCAAACAGAAGGCCTATGCAATGGAACAAGATTAATTGTCAGGCATCTTGGAAATTGGTCTGTCAGCGCAAACATCATGTCCGAAAAGAACATCGGTACGAGAGTCACAATTCCAAGAATCATTATGTCTCCTAACGATTCAAAGTGGCCATTCAAGCTTAACAGGAGGCAGCTCCCTTTGGCGCCATGTTTCGCCATGACAATCAATAAAAGTCAAGGACAATCTCTTAACCATGTCGGCTTGTATCTTCCGAAGCAAGTATTCACCCATGGTCAATTATATGTGGCTGTTTCCCGAGTAACAACAAGAGAAGGATTAAACATACTAAATGCTGACGAGGACGCAGAAGATCCTACATTAATTAAAAATATTGTTTACAAAGAGGTATTCCAAAATATACGTCCTATGGCTGCTGAGACACACGAGGTATTTCTTACTCTTTTCCAAACTGTGACATGAGCTTTATACAATCTTACAAATAGTTACTTCATTACAATTATTTCAAAATGTTTGTGCTTCAGGATAACTAACTATACCATTGATGATTCATGCTGGAATGAGCTCTCAATGCCGATGACAATTTTAAACGTCCTGCTTCAGTTGTGCTTATGGCACCTCTCATTGGGCAGTATTCTTATTTTTCTCTTTTCTCCTTTTTATGCCATTTTCCTTATTTATTTGTTAAGTGTCTTTTCTCACCTTTTCAGAAAAGGCGTGACCGGACAGTTTTTCAGTTACAACTTTGTCCAGATAAGTTTTGAAATCTAAACGCTCTAACACTTAATTATGGAATTTGAAACGGTTTTCTATTATTAAAACAGTCACCACCACTATTTTCCCAACTATATCTACAATTTGTGCATCTCATCTTCTTGGTACTGCTTCATGTTGGATGCATCAAGAATATATCTCATATGCTGGTTATTTATTTTAGTACTTTTCGTGAGTGTATTTTTGGACTTTTTGACCTCTTTAAAATCTTTTTAATGTGCAGGTTGATGAAGAATTGAATAGAGTGAATGTGACTGTATAATGGGCAAGTAGTCCTTCCTCAAGTCTATGCAACCTTTCTTCATCGATTTTAAAACCGATTCTTCGTTGCACTTTGTTTTCTCATGATAAATGCATAATTTAGGGGGAAAATATACTTATAATACTAAAAAAAATCAATTATATATAGGTGATTCTAATTATTCTATTATTTCATACTTATTTAATTTGAATAATTGGTGTTTGAAGGTTAAACTCATTTGTACAATTCAAGGAACAGGAGCACGGGTAATGAATCAGAAGATTTTACAAAAAATACTATTGGTGTATAATTATCTAATATGTTCACTATGTAGTAACACTGATTCAAATTTATTATTTTGTTTCTCATGCGCGATCATGCTTCTAAAGTATTCATTTTGAAATTATTTTGTACATATCCAGTGCCTGCCAGGGGAGATTGTATGCCAATATAGTTAAAGGAGTGCGATTGAATGACACCACTATGAACGCGCGAAGCGCGGGCAATTTACCTAGTTGGAGTACAATAACATCAAAGTTAACTATTGGTCAAACTTATAAAATCTTAAGTTTTTCAAATTGCCAAATTTCGACCAATAGTGTCAAATTCGTCTTGGAACCTCCAAAATCGAATCCGAATATGTACAAGTCCAAAATCATCATACGAACCTATAAGAACCATAAAAACTTGAATCCGAGTCCGTTTACCCAGAAATCGAACTTTGTCCAACTTAAAGTTTCCAAATCGAGAGTCATTATTTCAAATCAATCTCGAACTACTCGAAAATTACAACCGATCATACATGCAAGTCATAAATACATCATATGAAGCTACCCAAGGTCTCAAACCACTAAACAAAATGTTAAAACTCAAAACGATCGATCGGATCGTTACACACTTGGACCTCCTCTTCTCTCGCAGGATGACTGTCCACCACACCTTTTGTTTAAACTGCCATGATTGTTTGATTCACCAGCACTTTTTCCTTCATGAGAAGTCCGCATGTTGATGTAAAAAGCATTCTCAACAGGAGTATCATCATATCTTTTTTATTTTATCTTCGTAAGAATAAAGAGAACCCAATAACTCATCAACATTAACTTAGAGATGTTTGGATGGGTTTAAAAGTTGGTCAGTTTTTAACTTGTGAAAGTGTTTGGCAATCAAAAAATGGACTTAAAAAAAGTTAAGAATCTGCTTTAAAAAAGCAAAAATCAATAAGTTGGAAAACCCAACTTTTTTCTAAATTGGCTTAAAAGCCATATTGCTCTGACCAAGGATATTACATTCTTATCCCTTATAATTTTTCTTAATCCCGAAATTACCCCTAAGTAAAAATCCTATTTGTCAATTTCTTGAAGTTTTTAACGTGAAGCAAACAATAGTTTTTAAATAATGTTTGATGCATTCCAATATTTTGTNAAAAATCCTACAACATACTATTTTTTTTTTTCCATTCTCCAATATTTGTCAATTTCTTGAAGTTCTTAACGTGAAGCAAACAATAGTTTTTAAATAATGTTTGATGCATTCCAATATTTTGTAAATATTATTCTTTTGGCTTTTTTTTTTGGTTCCATAACATTTAATTTTTTCGATCGTTGAATCCTTCCTTCCTTTTTTTTTTTTTTAATTGGTGTAACTATATTCTAAAATCAAATCATTTAATGAATTTACGTGTTACCTCTGAATTTGAAGTTATGAAAGGAAAATATAATATTATCGTCATCATCTTCTTTATAATGTTAATAACTTTAAAGATATTTCAGTCATTTTAACCAAAAAAAAAAGTGCTTACAAGCACTTGTTTACCAAACACTTCATCAGCTTGTTTTAAGTTTCAGCACTTTTATCCAAACACGTAACTGATTATTTATAAAACAAGTTCCAACACTTATAAAGTACTTTTAAGCACTTAACTTAAAAGCCACTTTTTTAAGCCAATCCAAACCGCCCTTATTCAAGTCTTTTGACTCTTCTATTGCAACCACAATATGTCCATATTTCTTAAGCAAACTCCTAAGAATTTTCTCAATCACTTTCTTTTCATTCAAATTTTTACCAAGTTTTCTAATTTGATTGACAACATCAACTAAACTAGAAACATAATCAGCTAAAAGATCACCATCTTTCATAAAAGAACCTTCAAATTTTCTTCGAAGAGTTTGAAGCTTAGCAATTATCATTTTTTTGTACCTTGGTACCCTTTGAACAGTATGTCCCAGCCCTCCTTCAAATTGGTTGTTGCAGCAATACGAGGGAAGATTGCTTCATCCACAGACTGTCGAATGAAAACAAAGCTTTAGCAACTTTCTTTTGACAATCTCTGAGAGCATCAGTTGTTACTCCTTCTTCAAATAGCCATTCTCCACCAAATCCCACAATTCTTGGAATATGAACAAAGTCTTCATCTTTGTGCTCCATACGTCATAGTTGCTGCCTTGAAAATTTGAAATTGAGGGTTGAGAGAGGTTGACTCCAACGGCGTTATTAGCCATGGCTCTGATATCATATATGAACTACAAACAGAGGATACTGTCCTCAAAATTAAACAGAAAAAGAACATTATAAAGACTTTTCATAAATAGTTTGTGGGCTATGAGAAATTGAACTAAAAAGCTCTAATTTTCTTCATTGAACATGCTGCCTTAATAGAAGAGATTACCGTTACAAACTGACCCACTACCAACGAGATATTAGCAACTATTTGAAACAATAACTCCTTATAACATGGAACCACAACTTTCACTAACTTTCTGACTAATTGAGAGATAATTAAAATAAATTGAGTAAAAAAATAAAAGTATTTTTTTGCAGTAACTTTCTAACAAGGTGGAGTGATTTGTTGGTAAAAGCAAATCTCAATCAAATAATTTAAATTATTAGATTACAAATTTAACACGTGTCAAAAATCTAAAGGACAACCAGAGAAAAATAGAAAGAAAGGCAAAAGCATTCACGCTCCCAATATAATTGTGAATCACTTTCTGTTGTCCTTTATATTCGATTGGTACACTTATATTGGAGTTAAATGCTCAATAGATACTTAGTTTAGTGCGAGTTAGCTTCAAAGGTTTGAGCGGTCTCAATTTTACTACAGGATTTATGAATGAATGCTGGTTGGGCCACCTCAAATGGCAACCCTATTAACTTTCTGTCACTACACACTATTAATAGCTTATTTGGTAAGTTTCTAAAATCATGTTATTTTGAAAAATATATTTTTTAAAAACGTTTTTCAAAAAAAGTACTTTAGAAGCAATTTGTATTTTGACTAATTAATTTAAAAGGTAATTTTCAACAATAATTAATATTTAATCAAACTTTTAAAAAATATTTTTAAGTGTATTTTTAAAAAAAAATATTTTAAAAAAAAATATTTTTAGGGAGAAATTATTTTTTTCTACTTCTCAAAAACTATTTTTGCTTCTATTTAAAATTAATTTTTTTCTTAAAAGATCTTGGCCAAACTTCTCAAACTTTAAAAAAAAAAAATTTTTGGTCTTGGAGAAACTTTGCCAAATATGATATAATTCTAAATGCAGGATTGTTGTTGTGGCAGTGACATGACGGGTTGGTATAGAAATAATTCAACCGGCTGTAAATACTTTATTGGGTATCGTATAATTCATCTTTACAATTCCCTTTATCGTAGAAAAAATATTTTAAAAGAAAAAAAAGACTATTCGCACTTCATGTCTACACAAAAACAATAAATGAATATGTTTTTTTTTATATACTCTTACTTTATTTCTTAGAGATGGTTAAATTAAATTAAATTTTAAAAATTAAAATTTTAAAAAATCATAATCATCACAAACATTCATTATCAAGATTTTTTTAACTCAAATATTTTAAAATATCCCAGAAGTAAAAAAGGACCCTTTTTTTACTGTTTAGTATCAATCACATAATTAATTTATTTTATTTGTATAACACGAGCTCTTAGAATTAACTTAACTAAATTTGAGAAAACCACCCAAATGTCTAGCACCCAAGGCTACAACCTAGTTGTCAATGAAAGTGAAATGAAACTATGAAATGTTTTAGGTGGGACTCATACAGTTGTAATGATCCGATCGGTCGTTTTATTATCTAGAACCTCGTTCCCCTAAATAAGACTTTTCGTACTTGCTTTTACTGATTTATGACTTGCGGGGATAGTTGGTTCGGGATTTTGGAAGAGTTTGGGTTGAAATCGAAACACTTGGTTCCTTAAGGTTGGCTTAAAAGGCCAAGTTTGACTTCGGTCAAGACTTTGAGTAAACGATATCGGAATCGGGATTTGATGGTTCCAATAAGTTTGTATGATGATTTCGGACTTGGGCGTATGTTCGGATCGGATTTTGGATGACCCGGGAGCATTTTGGCGCCTAATAGTGGAAGTTGGTTCTTGAAGTTTTTTAAATTTGGTTTGGAACGGGTTTTGGCGATATCGGGTCCAAACGGAATTCCGAGACCGGGAATAGTTCCTTAATGTCATTTAAGACTTTCACGTAAAAATTGGTGTCATTCTGAGTAATTTAAGTATGTTTCGGCGCATTGGAAGTAAATTGAAGAACTTGAAGTTCTTAAGTTGGATTCAACTAGTTTTGGGGTGCGATTCTTAGTTTTAATGTTGTTTCAGGCGTTCCGAGATTTCGAGCGAGTCCGTTTTATGATTCCAAACTTGTTGGTATGTTCGGGCGGGGCCCGGGGGCCCCAAGTGTCGATCGAACGAGGCTCAGACTATTTCGGGAGCTGAAGCAACAATTGAAGCTCCCCAGTTCTATCATAACTGCACTTGCAGTTGGCCAGCCGCAGGTGCGAGCCAAGCCCCTGCAGATGCGATCCAAGGATGGCCAGCCAGGTTCCGCAGATGCGACTCCTTCTACGCAGAAGCGGGAGCCCTTCCGCAGATGCGGCCCCAACCGGCCCAGCTAATTCCGCAGAAGCGGACATCTGGTCTGCAGAAGCGAATCCGCAGGTGCAAAAATCGTTGAGGCAGTGAGGTTCACTTAATACGGGAGTTAAGCCATTTT